TGCTGTCTGTTCTCAAATAGTAGGGCACCAGTGTAGCTTGCCTAGTGTACTTTCTGCTGTCTGTTTTTTCTGTTGTCTTGTTATTGTGTCTGATGGTTTTCATTTCACTGGGTATAACATATCAATCTTTCTAGACGTTCACTACTCAAGAGACCATCACAAATGCAACATCTGCCAAGAATTGGTTCCTTGCAACAGCTAAGGATCCTGCTCATGTAGCCAAACACTTTGCTGCCCTATCAACCAATGCGGTAAGGCATTCTGACTAGTAAGAATGAAGCCTGAGAAAAAAGAAACCATGCTTTGCAGTCAGAGCTGAATATAAGGGCTTTGGATAAAAGATATTCAAGCTGACCTGACATAAAATCTTTCCTCTTGAAATCCAGACAGAAGAGGGGTAGTGCTACTAATGTTGGATTGTATTTCACGGCCGTGCAAAGTCTGTGTACCGTGTACTGCATAAATAGCCGTGTTTGTGTGCTTGCCTATCACACATACTCAATGCACCGTGAACGACTCGACTCAGGGCTAGCACCACACAATATTGACATGCCCGGCCGACCAGCCAGTCACGCTGTCCCTTGTCTGGTTCCTAGTTGTGAACAGCGTAATATGGGGTGCTGGTTAAGTCAGGCACCTGGCTATGAAATCAGTTTAAGCCTTTATAAGCTGCTGGGCACCTCACTGGTCCCCTTCTATCACCTGTGACTCTTCCATATTAGCTGCCCTAGCAAATCAAATCTCATTGAATTTCCTTTTCCACAGGTTAAGGTTACAGAGTTTGGCATTGACAAGAACAACATGTTCCCCTTTTGGGATGTAAGTATGTTATCCATATATGATTGACAAAATTGATTAATTATAGTTTCATCCAATTGTAGCCATATATCCAGACCTGAATGTAATACATAATGTTGAATGATTTTGTTCCATTCTTTCCCCAGTGGGTTGGAGGACGTTACTCCCTCTGGTCTGCCATAGGCCTATCCATTGCCCTGTACATTGGGATGGATAACTTTGAGGTCTTGTTGTCTGGTGCCCACTTCATGGACAACCATTTCTATCAGACTCCTCTGGAAAAGAATCTGCCAGTGGTGTTGGCTGTGCTTGGAGTGTGGTACCACAACTTCTTTGGAGCTGAAACCCACGCTTTGCTGCCATATGACCAGGTCTGTTGAAGGAGACATTGAACAGTGTCATCAGTTGAACCACTTTGAAAATCTAATACATTTTAAACTTCTTGAATGTTTGTCCAATACCGTATTAGTGCGAGTTCTGGGATATGTTTTATAGTTCTTGAGCAAAGAAGATTACTTTTAGTCAGCCATATAAGCAGTGCACACCAAACATTTTGGTTTCTTGACTTTTGTAAGCCAAATTTTTTCTGCTCAAAATTTTGCTTATTCATTGGCTTCAGTTCTCCTTTGAGAGTTCAGGCATAATTTATTTTTATACAGGATTTTCCCAAAATGCCCTATCTTCAGTTAGAAGAAAACTTTGTGAGTGCATCTGTAACGTTGTTTCAAGTAAGCCCAAAAATTTGATTCCAAACAGTACATGCATCGCTTTGCGGCCTACTTCCAACAAGGTGATATGGAATCTAATGGCAAATACATCACAGCAACCACCGGTCGCCGTGTAGAGTACACTACAGGACCCATTGTATGGGGAGAGCCGGGTACCAACGGCCAACATGCATTCTATCAACTCATTCACCAAGGTAACAGTCGTGGAACCAAACTCTTGCTAAAATTTTTGAGAAAAAAAAAGAGATTGGGGTCCTGGTGTGGAGGTAGTTTATATCAAATGTATTGAGAATTTTTGACTTTCAAGACAGGTTTCTGTGAAAAAATTTCTGTGAGATGATCATTCACAATGGAGGAACCAAGGTTTTTAAATGGGTCATTCCACGAAGTTCAGGCACAGTTTATGACGGCGTCCCTCGTTACATCAGTAAAAATAAACATCTTTTTTCCCTGCATGTGGATTCTAAATTGACATTGTTCTAAGTCTTGCTAGGTTCTTGTGGTGTGCTTCATCTTTGCTGAATAATGAGACTTAATCTGTTGTAATGTGAAAATAAAGGGCAATAAAAATTACCGATGTAACAAGAGACGCCGTCACAAACTCTGCCCAAACTTCATGGAATGACCCATATACTTGGCTTTATATCTTCTCATCACACCGCCAACATCAAAAGAGATTGCATGTCAATATGCACATCATCACTTTTCACTATATCCTGGACATTTTCCTGCCTTAAATTCTGTTTCTATAGGAACCCGCATCATTCCTGCTGATTTTCTGGCTCCTGTAGAAACCCATAACCCCATCACAGATGGACTCCACCATGAGGCAAGTCCTTTGTAGTTACATGTATAAATTGTTAAACAGTGACTCTTGTCAGCAACATTTGCTAGATCCCTCTACATGGCTGGTGCACAGTAGAAGATGCCAAATGTTGATTAGGAAAGACTTCCTGTGCAGAGAGTAGGAGGGGGCTTCAGTGACTTGCAAGGCTGTGGGATACTCCTCATCTTCATCAAAGGATTTCTATCATCGTTGTGTGCTATGGACTGCTTTCAGGCTGTTCTTTAGAAGTCTCTGGCTCATATTTCTTTGCCCATCTTTCAGATCTTGCTGGCTAATTTCTTGGCCCAGACTGAAGCCTTGATGAAAGGAAAGACTGTAGCAGAGGCAGAAGCTGAATTGAAGGGGTCTAACATGTCAGAGGCAACTATGAAACGCATCCTGCCTCACAAGGTATGGTCTCAACTTTAGAAATTAGCTTTCTTAGGACTTCAAATGAAACGGGCTCATATTTCCATTTTGAGAACTGCCTCTCGGCAAAGAATCTGTATCATTTTAGTAGAAAAATGTTGCTGTATTTAGCCTATTTATTCACAGTATTAGAAAAGACTTCAGTAGTAACTAGCACCTTTGCTTTGATAGAAAACAGGACGACATTTACTGCTTCTTCAGATATGTTTATTCAAACACTTCTTGTTTGATGTTTTTTGTCTTAATTGATTCACACATGCAACAGCCACTGGGAGCCAAACATGTCTTGGAAGCAGTTGCTCTCAACTTATTGCTGCATTGATAGATTTTTGTTTTTAATGAGCAGGTCTTCGAAGGCAATCGGCCAACCAACTCCATTGTTATCCAGAAGCTCACTCCCTTTACTCTTGGAGTTTTGATTGCAATGTATGAGCACAAGATCTTCACTCAGGGAATCATCTGGGACATTTGCTCCTTTGATCAGTGGGGGTAAGTCTCTCAACCCCTTCGCTACAGAGGACTGCTACTACCGCACTGTAGTGTGAGGATTAGTGCATACCACGCATACAGTCTATTCACCGCGTAGCTGCTGGTTCAATGGGGCCTGCTGCTGGACAAAGCCCTCCATTAAGGGCATACCACAGCCCAACAGTCACGGTCAAAATAATCCCGTCGTGAAGGGGTTCAATATTTATTTAGTTTGCGTCAATAAATTTGCCACATTTATGCAGATTCAGTTGCACATTAAGTTCCAAAGCCATTAGTTACAGTGGAAAGTTGAGACTAGTTTTCAAAAAAGGCATACCTTTCTTTTGGCATTGCTCGTCTGCAGTATCTTGTGAAACAATTTGAGTTGTGTTGATTGTGTTGGGATTAGCTGAATAACAACTCTATGCAGTGGTTTGCTCCGACCAATATGGTGTAAGTTGTAAGACTATTGCCTGTCTGACCAATATGGTATAAGACTATTGCCTGTTTGACCAATATGGTGTAAGACTATTGCCTGTCTGACCAACATGGTTTAAGTTGTAAGACTATTGCCTGTCTGTCCAATATGGTATAAGTTGTAAGACTGTTGCCTACTGACTACTGAGTATTTCACAGGAGTGGTGTTCTGGTTATTACTGCCAACCAACCAGTCATTTTAGCAGTAAAGTAATCGATTGGTTTGCAGCCTTAATGTACTGTGGAGCGTACTGTGTTTTCACTAATGGTTATCATGGATTCCCCATGTTTTATACAACTTCCAAATGCTTGTGTTAATCTGCTTATTGCACATTTTGTCCCTTCTTCAGGGTGGAGCTTGGTAAGCAGTTAGCTAAGATCATTCAGCCAGAGCTGAAAGACAACAATCCTGTGACCAGCCATGATTCGTCCACCAACGGTCTGATTAACCACATCAAAACCAGTCGTACCAAGTGACGGGTTGGGCCCACATCTCTAGATGACAGCAGCGTGGACACTGGAGGGGTCAGTGGTGGTCAGGTCAAAAGTCGGCAGTTCAGAGGCAAGGAGGTCAAATTTCAAGAAGGCCAGGAAATAATCCCTAGAACCAAGTATAGCAGCAGAGGTCATAAGTCCGGTATGTGTTTGCTCATCTAAGATGTCGGGCGTGTTTTGGAAGTGTTGTGATTTTGTTTAAGTATTGGTTTATTTGTTATTGTTTTGAAATGTTTTCAGATCTTCAACATGATAGTTTATTATCACTGTAGCACTACACTACAAGAGCACACTTTGGAATTTATGTCCAGCTGGGCTTTTGTAAGAGTCATAGTCATACACAGATTTGACGTCATCAGATGTTTGTCAAGTCATCCATCTCTGTTGCTCCCCGCACACAAATTATGACATCATAGTAAAAGTAATCAAATTACATTTGAAAGTAACTGTGATCATTTTTATTAAATTTCTTACACAGATGTGCTTTTTTGGTTTGTGCACACATTTTACTGTTTGTTGGTTTGGAAGTGGTGTTTGGATGTTAATTTCATTCTGTATAAATTTGGTTAAATATTTTTCTGTTGCCTGTCTGTAGAGTTTGATAAGTGAGTTTATTTCAGCTTCGTTTTTCATGGAACAAAGGGTCTGTGCGTCATGTTACTTCCATATTATCATTGTTCAATTGTTTCTGACTTTGCCCAAAGTGTATCACGTTTATTTTTGCCAGTTGTATTGCTTGAAATATACAGAAGAGACACACACTTACCAGACTATAGCCTCTGTCTTCTGCAGTTAGACTTGGAATCTAAAACCATTTACTATTTAAAGTACTATGCATAGCAATCTCCCTATTTTTTTATAACATAGTAGACTGTTTAATTCTAGGTTTAAGTGTATTTTTGAAATGCAATTGGAAAAAAATAGTATCGGAGTGATATCTACATTATTGTGAGATATAACTTGTTTTGGTTTAGTGATGTTGGTTCTTCATTTTTCTGGTTGAGATGGGTTTTTTGGTATGAGATGTTAGATACTGATTGAGTTTTTGACTCAGTCTTCAGATCTGTCCACACACTTCAAGTAATCATCCACTTAATAAGGGAATAAATATACTGGCTCAGGAGAATTGGCGTGACTAAAATGCCCCGGCTGCAGGAAAAGGCATTATCATGCAGTGTTCATTCTCCTGAGCCGATCTTAAATGTTAGTTTAAGACTTGCCAAGCACACATTTATTCCCATTCATAAATACCTTTTTTATTCAGAGAGTCAAAAGAAGTCAAGTGAGGGATTTCCTGCAATTTTGTTCTAAAAATTTTACTTTCATTTTCTTGAACACCGCCGTCCATTTTGTGGTATATTTCTTTTGAAAGTTGTCCAATAGTATCTTTTTAAATGAATTTGGCATGCACGTGATGCATCCCGTGCACAGAGACTCTTGACCAATCAGGTATTTATGAATATGGGATATTATTGGTGTAGCATAACAGGTTATAACAGAAACAAGGTATCTTGTGTACCATACTGAAAAAGTTAATGCCGTGTTCAAGGGTGTTGATGCTGGAAACTTGCTAACCTGGCTGTAATGTACAATAACATAATTGTCATGGTTGAATGTGACAATGAGTTTGTTTAATGCACGATGATTTAGAACGTAAAACTGAAACCTTGCATATTAACTCTTATAGTACAAGTTGGTCTTAAAGTTTGTTCCCCCCACATTATTGATTCATGTAGCACAATAACCTTGTAGTAATTCCTGAAATGTTATGATCACCGTTATTGATCAGTATTAAAATGGCACAGATGGGTTACCATTAAAACTGTTGTTTTGTCTGTTTGTAAAAAATGATAATCCCCGGCAGTTTTTATCAACTGCCATCTTCATTTGGGCCAGTCTGGTGTTTCAGTAGAGCATGCCCTTTTGCAGTCATATGCCAACTTATATGAGGGCTTCATTTTTGAATAAACCTTGCCTTCTTGAAATTTCAAACTTGGTTACTATGGTTTGTCCCACTGTGACTGGCTAAATATTGAATATCCTCGCACAAAACTCAAATTCTTTACTTACATACTTCTTTCATACATTTGGAAAATGCACTTTATTATCAAGAGAAAGCAGTTTTCATGATAATTTGCCCGAATAATGTATTTGAATTCAGCTTTTCATTTTTTACATTTTGATGAGCAATACAATGTATTTTACAGCAATATTGTATAAAAATTGTTGAATATAAGGTGAAACAAAACATTAAGATACTTTGAAAAAAGGCAGTTTAAACAGAGGGTACTGAGGGTGGTACAGCAGGTGCAGTTACTGAGGGTGGTACAGCAGGTGCAGTTACTGAGGGTGGTATAGCAGGTGCAGTTACTGAGGGTGGTATAGCAGGTGCAGTTACTGAGGGTGGTATAGCAGGTGCAGTTACTGAGGGTGGTATAGCAGGTGCAGTTACTGAGGGTGGTATAGTAGGTGCAGTTACTGAGGGTGGTATAGTAGGTGCAGTTACTGAGGGTGGTATAGCAGGTGCAGTTGAAGCAAACTGAAAAACAAAGCTGAGGGTTTTGATTACTTAATTTCTTCAGAAAAGGACTGAGTGTTGACCATTATCCCTTAACTACAAAGCAATGGATGGGGTTCACGTATGAGCAACCGGCGTGACCACAGCAAGAATAAATGGTTATTTTTAGGAAAGCATCTGAAGCAGTGCTTGGGCAACCCTAATGCTGCAAGTTTCAATGTTGCAGGATTTTTCTTTGCTGAAATATACATCCAGTAGCTTCTTTCATAAGATTCACACTTATGAAACCCCAATTCCTGTCAAGAGATGAAATTGAAATGATCCACAGAGGTAACAGGTAAAAAAGTGATATTGGGATAAAATGGGAAAGATATTAGCTTGGAACATGACAATCCTTGGAGTCATACTGATCAATGATTCTGATCAACGTACATATGCATGTAGTTCTCACTGATTAAGTACCTCCATAAGGAAAGTTCAGAAATTTTGAATGTAAACCTTGCTTAAGATACCAATCAAAAGAAACGTGATTCCATCATTCCAGTTATATGTAACAAATCCAAGATATTAGAGCAAGATTTCAAATTAAAATAAAAATGAACCACTACCAAATTTGCATACAATACTACCAACAGTGTCTTGATACAAAAAAATACATGTAAATTGTGTCAAAATTTAATTATTTAATAAGGAAAAGCTATACATAAATCCATGAGTTTGTAAACATTTTCTCAAAAGCTACTGCAAAAGATTGATGTTATTGGTTCTTGTCGTAGTATTCTGGCATAAAATAAAAAAAACAAGATGTGACTAGGTTTATAAGCAAATATGCATGAACATCTGTTATATATCAAATTTCATGACAAAAACTTAAAATATTTATGCTTTATCTGTAAAAACAAAAATTATGTTTTGGATACACATAATAAAGAAGTTAAGAGTTACAGAATATTTCTAGCCAATTTCAAAATAAACATTTGTTTACCAAGTACCAGTATTGTATAAATGAAGCAAACCCATGGGTATTTAGAATACAAATCCTATTTTGAGTCTGCATAATCTTTCTAAACCTCATTTAATTTTGGATGTAAATGCTTTGTTTCCCATTCAAGTTCACAAAAGCCCTTCATTCTCAATGCTGGCTTATACTTCTGCAGATGTAAAAGCAAAGCTAATTTGATGTAATACATTCTGGGTAAAAGGCGGCTCTGTAAGATCATGCCCCATCTAAAATAACTCCCAAAAAATTAGGTTTGATAATTGATGGATACAAGCAACAATACTGTACTTAAAACTACAAGTGGGTTCAAACATATTAAGTCTTGACTCTTTTGCATCTGTGTGTACCTAATTAAATGAACGCTTCAAGCAACGTGCAGCATCATAGTTTTTGTTTACCTTTAAGAGAACGATATTGTGGAAACAGTATTCCACAAGATACTGGTATACACAGTGACTTGCGTGGAAAATTTGTCTACTTGTTTAGACTAGTTCTGCTGTATCGGTACGTGTAATGTGAAAGCAATGTGAACTACGTAAACAATGTAAACAGAAGAGTAAACTACTTCTATGCACATATACCTAATTAACACCAATTCGATATAAATCTTTTTACATATATATAAATGCAATTTTAATGCAATGCCAATATGTGCCACACAATTTATACAAAGTTGAATTTCCTAACACCAATTTGACATGTACTTAACATTAAGATTACATCTTCATTGTCTGTACCTGCTGGAAAAGATGAGCCTTGCTTAATATGTCAAGATTACAGCAGAGCAAATCAGGTTAATTTCTATTTACAATGATATAAATACATGCTGCAATTTATAATCATGATATGATCACTTAAACCACAAAGCCAAAATTTGGTGAAAAAAGCTTGACTGCCATGTTTGTGTTTAGCTGCAGGCATTTAAGATCTGTACTTAAAAATCAAAACCTGCCATCATTGTGTAACTGGGTTGCTCAGAAACACTTCTAATCTATTCATGTCCAATCATCTGCTCACAAATCAGCCAAAAAAAAAACCAAACAAACAATTTGCTAACAAACACACAAGCGGAGAGCGACATTTAGAGAGACTTAGTTGTAGTTTGTCTTAATGAAAAATCTGAAGTGAAAGCAAACGGCTCGATATTTTACGTACAACAAATTGCTCACTAACAATTTGATCGTTATTAAATGGTGAGATTTTTTTCTTATGAACTATTTGAAACCAGTAAGTAGTTTTCTTTTGTGAGTAACAGATTCTGAATTGTTGCCACATGATCTACTCATCAAGTCAGTTCAGCAATTAAGGCTTCTTAGAAATATCCAGTCAAATGTAATGCTTGATAGTCTTGATTCATATAGCACCCCAATCAAAAACTTAACTTCTCAGTACACTGACATACATGTATCTTGAGTACCATACTGGAAGTAGTAGTAGTAGAATGAATTTGACAAAAATCAAAAGCAAGGCAAAAAATCCCTTAACATTTCCCTCTGTCATTTCTGTTCTTGGTTTGATTCCCTGTATGTATCACTTTAAGCATGCTAATGTGATGCTTTTCTATGGCTTTCCTAACATCAGTACAGATTATGGTAACTCCTAATGAAGTCTGGTACTTTCCTTTGTCAAGATGAGCAAACTCCTTGGTTATTTCCTTCCCTAGTCTGTCTCCAGATTACTGACCTTCATAACTCCATAGTAAACAGCTCGCATCAAATTCAGGATCCCAACCACAAAGGCACCTGGGATAGCAAGGAGTAGGCCAAAGGTTGAAGGTCATGAGGTTTGATAGGTTTGGTTTATTTCCTTTCCACACATCACAATAAGAATATACTGAGGCATAAAATGAGTCAATTAAAGAAGGAATAAGGGGTGATGAATGGCAAATACCAGGCAGAAAGCAAATGCTTGTTCATGACCTCGTTTGTTATTTGTCACAATCATAACCATGTGGGACTATTATAACCGGGATGAAGAAAGAGAGAGAGTAAAAGAGGTAAATAACTGAAGGTACAGCTTGACTCCAGAATTACGCAAGAATCTTGAACCATATCCTGCGGGGAGCCTGGTTACGGGCACATAGGCTTTATGCACCAAACCAGGGAGCCCGGTTACGGGCACATAGGCTTTATGCACCAAACCAGGGAGCCCGGTTACGGGCACATAGGCTTTATGCACCAAACCAGGGAGCCCGGTTACGGGCACATAGGCTTTATGCACCAAACAAGGGAGCCCGGTTACGGGCACATAGGCTTTATGCACCAAACCAGGGAGCCCGGTTACGGGCACATAGGCTTTATGCACCAAACCAGGGAGCCTGAAACCGGACAAAAGAGCTGGGCCTTGTCACAAAAGATGGTATCCGAGTACCAAGACAAAAAGTACAAAAGACCAAGCTGCTGGGAATTACCAACATTTTTTTCAGTTGTCAATAGCGGAGGAAATCTGTCCTTATTTTGAGAGATTATACCACTAATTGAGGCATTCATCACGAGCCAATTACCACTGGGGAAAAAGGGCTCCAGCAATGAGCAATACAATACTGCTGTATGCTAATCTCGCCCTTATTGAAAAGACGCCTGTAGCCCGCTATGCCAGTTTTGGGAACAAAAGAAAGTTACACAGCACTGCACAATCTGGACTCTTTTTACAAGGTGGTAGGCCTGGCTGAAATACTCAGGCATCATAGATGTTGTCTGTCAAATTAGAGTAGTCACCAGACAGTTACTCCTGTGGGTGTAAATGTCCAGTACATGAAGCTATGGTTTTTTGAAGAATTTTGAAAACGGAAAATCTTGAAAATCTCCTGGTCATGCAACTTCAAATTCTACCTGGCAGCAAGTGGTTGAACTCAATGTGATACATAAACACTTTAGGAGTCAACACAGATCTAAATACAACTATTTAAATATGAACAAATATGAAGGTTATGAGATCAAAGCATAGTTAAAGAGTGATGCCACACAATAAGAGCCAATGCCAGCTGATGAGGGCAAAACTAAAAGGAAAGGTAAATGATTTGTAGCAAGTAGTGATGACTTACCAATCCACACAAAGTAGATACCTCCTTGGTTTTGTGCCAGGGGATAGGTTCCAATCTATAGAGAAAAAATCACAAATAACAAAATAAATAGTAAGACTGTATGAAGTATACAGGTTAAATGGTGCCAGGTGATCTAATCGGGAAAACTAAGTATAAGACTATAGGAAATGTATTCACTGATTTAGAAATTTTCAGCTGAATGTGCACAAGTGGCTTGTTCACACAAGCATAGGCTTGAAAATGTCCATCAGCAAGATAGTTTGATCAGTACCACACAAAGTCAACACAAATATTAACAAGTGTTCTCACAACCAAAACTTACATAGGACTTTCACCCATTAAAAAAGAGACATTTCACAAAAAGGGTAACTTGGCTTACCGTGACACCAATGCCTGCTCCAATGAAAATGAGTCCAATCACAGTGTAAATGATGCACCTGTTCTTAGCATAGGCTTGTCCAACAGATGACCTACACATTCAACATAGGAAGAAATAAACCTAGATCAGAACCACTGTGCCAAAATGGGAACCCCACCAAAGGTCGGTTAAATACATGCAGTAATATGAAGAGCTGTGTTAAGAAATTACAGAAAATTGAAAGTACAGCATAAGAAAGTACATGTATGTGCAACACAATACGGCTTCAACAAAGAAATATGATCATTTACAGAGTCTCTTCAACAAAGTGAACTTTAAGATAATACATGATCACTTATGACAGTGGTATAAACTGACAAGTAGTCCCAACAAAGAATCAAAGTATGGATTACGTATTGACAGAGTAAGACAACACTTTATGAGGCTTACACTCGTCGACAGTAGGGGCATCTAGCCAAGGTTGACTGATGAGGAAACTAAAGGAAAAACAGAAATAACAAATTTTTAACAGTCACGTAGCATTTCATAACGTTTCTCTCTATTCCTTCTAAAACTTGATTTAGTTACTTCAAATTAACCTGGCTAGTTAAACAAAAAGACAGACTACAAACAGATGAATGGCAATTAATGTATACCGTTAGTGAATCAACACTGCATATTAATCTTAGCAATCAAATGCTTATCAGCATTTTGGACGTGAAAAGAGCCAGGTTTGGTGACCTAAGTTTTACTGAAAATGCCAAATTACCACCCATGTATGATCACCATTATCATTGAGCACAGAGCTGCTACTCCCCTTGTTTTGCTTCAGCCAATGGTCTTACCCTGAATCTCTCATTACAATGACCACAAACCACACGGTAACCAGAAGTTGTAGTAAGGGTGGTTGTGGTTGATGGAGCAACGGCGGTCACTGGAGCCAGGTTGATGATCCGCTTACTGTCGGTTAATGAAAACACAGAGTCAAGTGAGAAAACTTTCACTTACAGCTGCCGATTATGCAACATCAAAATTAAAAACTTAACTTTAGTTCTAAATTATAATCATGGATATTCTATAATTTAATTTACATTATGCCAGTCACAGAATCCTTGATAAAAATGACATACAAAAGCATGCAAATTAGACAAATAAATTCACCCCTGAAGGTGTTGAAAATGCTGCACTCAACTCTGACCACTTTCTTAATTCATTTCTAAATTCACCGATGAAGTTTACTTGAAATCTTCCTGAACCAAAGTGTGAGTTTTTGAAGGATTTATAAGTCTCAATTTTAGAACCAAAATTAAACAAGGGAATGTATACATGTATTTGGTGAATTTGGATCACAGCAATGGTTAGGGGACTTACCAGTTAGCCCTTGGGCATGCAATGCGCTTAGATGACATCTTGCAGATGAGCAGACAGTTGCATGGACAGCGGACATATTTCTTACCAGCTGGAGCTTCTTTGATGGGCTACAAAATGACAACAAATATTAACTGAGTTACTTCAAATCAACGAATATTAACTGAGTTACTTCAAATCAACAAATTTTAACTGAGTTACTTCAAATCAACAAATTTTAATTGAGTTACTTCAAAACAACAAATATTAACTAAGTTACTTCAAATCAACGAATATTAACTGAGTTACTTCAAATCAACGAATATTAACTGAGTTACTTCAAATCAACGAATTTTAACTGAGTTACTTCAAATCAACGAATATTAACTGAGTTACTTCAAATCAACGAATTTTAACTGAGTTACTTCAATTCAACAAATTTTAACTGAGTTACTTCAAATCAACAAATATTAACCGAGTTAACTTAAATCAACAAATATTAACTGAGTTACTTCAAATCAACAAATATTAACTGAGTTACTTCAAAACAACAAATATTAACTGAGTTACTTCAAATCAACAAATATTAACTGAGTTACTTCAAATCAACAAATATTAACTGAGTTACTTCAAATCAACAAATATTAACTGAGTTACTTCAAATCAACAAATATTAATTGATTACTTCAAAACAACAAATATTAACTAAGTTACTTCAAATCAACGAATATTAACTGAGTTACTTCAAATCAACGAATATTAACTGAGTTACTTCAAATCAACGAATTTTAACTGAGGTAATTTAAATCAACAAATTTTAACTGAGTTACTTCAAATCAACAAATATTAACTGAGTTACTTCAAATCAACAAATATTAATTGAGTTACTTCAAAACAACAAATATTAACTAAGTTACTTCAAATCAACAAATATTAACTGAGTTACTTCAAATCAACAAATATTAACTGAGGTAATTTAAATCAACAAATTTTAACTGAGTTACTTCAAATCAACAAATATTAATTGAGTTACTTCAAAACAACAAATATTAACTAAGTTATTTCAAATCAACGAATATTAACTGAGTTACTTCAAATCAACAAATATTAACTGAGTTACTTCAAATCAACGAATTTTAACTGAGTTACTTCAAATCAACAAATTTTAACTGAGTTACTTCAAATCAACAAATATTAACTGAGGTAATTTAAATCAACAAATATTAACTGATTTACTTCAAATCAGAATGGAGTGACATGCCAGTAATAATCTCTGACTAGTTAAAAAAAAAGTCAGAAGCCAAAATGGTAAATATCGGGGCTACAAATACTAAATGGTTTGCTATACCAAAACTAGGGACTTTAAGACTTGTATTGGAAGATGAAGTTGTTTGTCATGGTCAGTGAGCAATATGTCTTGGGAAATTTTTATAAACAAAGAGGTAGAGAAGTGATGACCTTTGCATTTCAGATAATGTTGAAAACAACTGGAAACTTTCCAAAATTTTGGATACTTCAAAAGAAAGGTTTTAATGAGCTTCTTTTTGGTAAAGGGGGTAATAATATTTCACACATTAGTGAAATGTTTAACAATTTCTGCATGTTTTGGTAGTATCACATACATGTACATGTACTTTGTCATTCTACATGTTAAGCAGCAGGAAACTAAAACACAACCATTCAAGGGACATCATGGTGATCAGTAACTACATTGNTGTTTTGCAATCAATACAGGTACAAAATACACATACATTTGAAGTTACATAAAGTGAAAGGGTTAAGATAAAATTGTAAGGAAATGAAGATTTATGTCATGACTGCTAATCAAGGGTTCAAAACCAAAACCAAAAGTAAACCAACGGCAACCACCTCAGTGTTCATTAAATTGGAAAATTACACATGGTTGACTCAAAATGAAAACCACTGTGTGATCAACAACAATGGCTGTATACATTCAAATACATTCAAGAAAGTCACAATATCATGATCTTAACATCTTTAAATTTTCAACATTGTATGGCAGGGTTCAAACATAATGCTGGTCTGGCAGCCAAAATCCTTATGGCCTAGTCAAGTCCTTGTTAAAGTGGTCCAATGGACTACTTGAGTTAAGGAGTATTCCCAAACACACCAAGACATTCTTATCTGTCCCAGCACAGTCTAAAATTTTCTCCCATTAATTTTTATGCACTTATTCCCTCAACATGACAAGTGTTTTCTCAAAGAGTGCTGTGCACCTCAAGGTAGTACATGTACGTAGATAAATTCCACTGGTTTCCACAGCTCAGTTTCCTGAACAATAACTGAAGAAACAGGTGCTGAGCTACATGGACGATGTATTGTATTTGCCTCTGCATTCATCAATAGTTGTCGTGCAAACATTTGATATGGTCCTAACTGTTAAAGCATTTTGATGAAGATTTCTAAGAGTGGAGTCACAAATTGGATTTCTCTCTTCTGTTTTTCATTTTCAAGTATTCATTTCCAGGTCAAAATCCTTATCTGTAGCAGTGATCCTACAAAGTGTAATTTTCTGTGTGAACGCTGCCTAGCCTGAAAACACTGCACATGCATGCAATGGTAGCCAGTCTATGGTCCACTACACATGTACGTGTGTACATGCTCTAGACCTGTGATACACAAACCATGTTCTTTCACGAGTACTCTCAAAAGTTTCCTTCATTTTTGAATCATTTTATAAGTGGTATATACATGTCATTTAATTCAAAGCAAAGTTTAGTTCAAGGAGTTAGACTTGACTTTTATGGAATATGCAACACTTCAGCAGGATCATGCATGTACAGGATGTATGTAAAGTTAGGGAGCTGAAGGTTGTGTTTGGTATTACTGAATGTTCATTGATAGTTACAGCAGTGTATCACGGAACATTATATCATACACAGGCCTTGTGCTTTTTTTCCTGGCTAGTTAACTGGATATTTTACTAGCCCGTTTAGAGTTTTACAAGTCCATGTACAGAAGAATAAGAAAAATTCCAAAATTTCTTATCAGCTTTCTAATGAAGAATTTGACATTTCTGAAAATGAAAGGCTGATGGTATAAATAAATAAAGAGGCATGTTAGTTAAAAGTCGCCTCAGTCACTGGTCATGGGGTTGGGATCAAACTCATCTCTTTGCTCCGTCTTTCCTCTCATATAGGCTGCTTATGCTTGGTAACCGAATGTGTGCGGTAAACATGCACGGTAAATGAGAAAAAACTTTTTCCAATCAAAAGAGGGCGCAGTTTGCATGCAACTTTGTTACAGTAGACTTCATATCAAATGCTTTCAAGGACTCCTGCAACACCCAGTACAAATACATGCAGCTGTGCCCAGTCCAAGTTAGAAAAATTGATAAATGATGTGAATAAGAACAGTGTGCACATACGGTACTGCGCTGTACCGTATGCTATGCTACTGTACATGTGTATATATTAACCCTAACTGNTGATGAAGTATACATCTGGATATCTCATGTTTTGCAATCAATACAGGTACAAAATACACATGCATTTGTAGTTAAATAAAGTGAAAGAATTAAGATAAAATTGTAAGGAAATGAAGATTTATGTCATGGCTGCTAATCAAGGGTTCAAAACCAAAAGTAAACCAACGGCAACCACCTCAGTGTTCATTAAATTGGAAAATTACACATGGTTGACTCAAAATCAAAACCACTGTGTGATCAACAACAATGGCTGTATACATTCAAATACATTCAAGAAAGTCACAATATCATGATCTTAACATCTTTAAATTTTCAACATTGTATGGCAGGGTTCAAACATAATGCTGGTCTGGCAGCCAAAATCCTTATGGCCTAGTCAAGTCCTTGTTCAAGTGGTCCAATGGACTGCTTGAGTTAAGGAGTATTCCCAAACACACCAAGACATTCTTATCTGTCCCAGCACTGTCTAAAATTTTCTCCCATTAATTTTTATGCACTTATTCCCTCAACATGACAAGTGTTTTCTCAAAGAGTGCTGTGATGTGGTGAAAGCACATGCACTTGAAGGTAGTACATGTACGTAGATAAATTCCACTGGTTTCTGAACAATAACTGAAGAAACAGGTGCTGAGCTACAAGTACGATGCACTGTATTTGCCTCTGCATTCATCAATAGTTGTCGTGCAAACATTTGATATGGTCCCAACTGTTAAAGCATTTTGATGAAGATTTCTAAGAGTGGAGTCACAAATTGGATTTCTCTCTTCTGTTTTTCATTTTCAAGTATTAATTTCCAGGTCAAAATCCTTATCTTATGTACATACATGTAGCAGTGATCCTACAAAGTGTAATTTTCTGTGTGAACGCTGCCTAGCCTGAAAACACTGCACATGCATGCAATGGTAGCCAGTCTATGGTCCACTACACATGTACATGTGTACATGCTCTAGACCTGTGATACACAAACCATGTTGTTTCATGAGTACTCTCAAAAGTTTCCTTCATTTTTGAATCATTTTATAAGTGGTATATACATGTACACATCATTTAATTCAAAGAAAAGTTTAATTCAAGGAGTTAGGCTGGACTTTTATGGAATATGCAACACTTCAGCAGGATCACACATGTACATGTACAGGATGTATGTAAAGTTAGGGAGCTGAAGGTTGTGTTTGGTATTACTGAATGTTCATTGATAGTTACAGCAGTGTATCACTAAACATTTTATCATACACAGGCCTTGTGCTTTTTTTTCCTGGCTAGTTAACTGGATATTTTACTAGCCCGTTTAGACTTTTACAAGTCCATGTATAGAAGAATAAGAAAAATCCCAAAATTTCTTATCAACTTACTACTGAAGAATTTGAAATTTTGGAAAATGAAAGGTTGATGGTATAAATAAATAAAGAGGCATGTTAGTTAAAAGTCGCCTCAGTCACTGGTCATGGGGTTGGGATCAAACTCATCTCTTTGCTCCGTCTTTCCTGCTTATGCTTGGTAACTGAATGTGTGCGGTGAACATGCACAGTAAACGAGAAAAAACTTTTTCCAATCAAAAGAGGGCGCAGTTTGCACGCAACTTTGTTACGATAGACTTCGTATCAAATGCTTTCAAAGACTCCTGCAACACCCAGTACAAATACATGCAGCTGTGCCCAGTCCAAGTTAGAAAAATTGATAAAT